CAGGGCAGAGAAGGCAGCATGCTCTTTCTCCCCCCACATAAAAACGACCCCCTTTCGCAGTAAATCCGCCAGCGGGGCAGTCAACTGTGCCATGTCGGGGACGAACCGACGAACATAATTAACGAACCCTAAAAAACTCTGCAGTTCCGTGATGTTTGTCGGGGGTTGCCACGCTTTGACCGTGTCCAGCTTCTTTGGGTCGATTTCAACCCCAGCCTCCGAAATGACGTGCCCCAAAAATTCTAACCTATCCTGGATGAACTCGCACTTGGAACCCTTGGTCAGTAGGCGATGCTCGTCTAAATTTTTAAAAACCGCTTCCAGGTCTGCTAAGTGCTGCTGCTTATCCCTGCTGTAGACGAGTATGTCGTCGAGGTAAACTATCACGCATTTATCTAAGAGTGGCCTAAACGCTTCATTCATGGTCATCTGAAATGTCGCCGGTGCGTTGGTCAGCCCGAATGGCATCACGGTGTACTCGAATGATCCGTACCTAGTCCTAAATGCTGTCTTGGCACAGTCCGATGGTTCGACCCGAATCTAATGGTAACCTCCCCGTAAGTCTATTTTCGAAAACACCCGTGCTGTTCGCAGTTGGTCAATCAGTTCGTCGGCGCGGGGAATGGGGTATCGCGATTTGACTGTTACCCTGTTGAGTGCTCGGTAATTGATGCACATGCGAAACCCTCCGTCTTTTTTCGGCGTGAATAATATCGGCGCGGCGAACGGTGACGAATTCGGTCGGATAAACTGCTTCTCTAACAAATAATCTAACTGCTTCCTCAGTTCGTCGAGCTCGGGCTGTGTCAGTCTGAACTGGCGCTGTACAGTTGGCTGTGCCCCCGGTTCTAACTCAATCCTATGATCATGCGCCCGCTGAGGTGGCAGTCCCTCCGGTAAGTCGTCCGGAAAAATCCCCGGGTACCGTTTCAACAGTTCCTGTAGTTCGGGCGGTACTGATGCCAACAGTTTCTGAAAATCGCTCGGCTGCTCTGCTTCTCCTACCAATGCTATATCTACTGCGTACACGTCAGCTCCAGCGGCGACAGCCCGTTTCATCGTGATGGAGTTGACGTGGACCGTTGAAGACTCGGGCAACTGCCAGCGAGGTAGCGCGACCCAGTTACCGCTACTTCGCACAGTGCAGCTACCCGTCGTCCAGTCTATTCGCGGGTTGTAGCGTTGCAGCCAATCACGTCCCAGTAAAATTTCGTGCCCATCCAATGTCGTCGCGAGCATTTCCTGTGTAAAGCCGAAGTTTCCCCCGCAGCGAACTTTTACTCTTTCCACTTTCTCCCGTATGGCTAGCGGCGTGCCGTCTACTAAGCGTGCGTCGATCTCTGGTAAGCACCGACTAAGTGTCAGTTGCAGTTTTCGTGCGGTTGCGGTATTAACTAAGCTGTGGCTTGCTCCTCCGTCGATAAAAATCTTCACTGCTGCTCCCTGTATTTTCCCGTGGATCAGTACTGGGCAATCCGTCGCTGTACCCTCCTTATTCATCCGAGCCCAATCGATGGCGTGAATCGGTACTGTGACTCGGTGAGGGTCGGTGTGGTTGGGCGAGCAGGCAGTCTCGTCAGTAGTTGGCCCGACTCCTACTGACTGCTGGCGTTTCCCTGCCTCTGAGACTCCCTCCCCTGCTCTGCTCCGCGGCGCCTTAGCTCCTCTGGGCATTCGCTCTTGCGATGGCCCGGCCTGTTGCAAGCAAAGCAGCGCCCCTTAAACGGCGCGGCAGCTGCATTCGTCGCAACAGCGTGTACAGTGGCGTGCTCGATCGGCCCCCGAGGACGATGTCCGTAGTAGGACCCCGGCCTCGGTCGGCATAGGATGTCGATTTTCTCGGCGAGAGCGAGAATCTCGTTGAAGTTCGAGAGCCCGCGTAGCATGATCTCATGCGAGATGTCCGGCTTCAGCCCTCCGACGTAACGGTCCACCCGCTCCGCTTCGTGCATGTAGCCGACTTGCTCGCAAAGTGCGAGAAAACCGCTCGTGTAATCTTGAACCGACCCGAGCTGCCGCCAAGTGCGCAATCTCTGACGCGCCGAAATAGAAGCCGCGATCGGCTCGAAGCGCGCCCGAAGCCCTGCGCACCACGCATCCCACGTGCTGTATTGGGCGGTTTCGCAGAATGAACTCCAGGTGACAGCTGGACCCGTGGGCCCTTCCTCTTGCGACGGTGGCTCGTAGGCGCGTGGCGACGTCACGATGACTCGCCACCAGTCCATGGCGGGGCCCCTTAGCAGCGAAACAGCATACCGAATCTTCGCTGCGTCCGACTCGACGTATTCGCATCGAAGAAGACGTTCATCGTGAAGACCCACGATTGAACCGTCGGACCTCCACGCTGGCTCGGGTCGAAACAGGGCGGGCGTTGCGGCTTGAGTGGCATTGGTGCCATAATGGTCTGTTCGCCACTTGTCGACGGGCTTCGCGAGGCTCCACGTGCCGACGGGCTTCGCGAGGCTCCCGCGGGCTTGGCACGCCCCTGTTTCCTCCCATGCCAGGCATTGGTTGGGCGGCGCTATCACTGGCTGCACCCGAGCGCTGTCCCACGCTGTCGTGTTGTGTTGGTGTACCGGACGAGATGACGATTGGCTCGTCCGATTGTGCAGGTGAATTTGTTGGTGCGTGTGGTGCTGCTGGAGTGTTCACCGTTGATTGCTGACGCGCGGAGTCACGTTCCGCAGTGAGCGTCGCAATTTCGAGCGCCGAATCTTCGAGTTGGCGCACCAGACGGTCGAGCTGCTCCTGCGTCAATGTGGCGAGTGTGATTTCGGCCATGGCGGGGGTGTCGGGCGAGCTCAGCGAGAGCCTCAGTCGTGGTCGTGCGTGCTTACGAGAGAGCACTACGAGCGGCGGTGATGTGTCGCTGAGAGACGTCTACCCCCCCCAAAAAAATTGAGATAGTGGGGAAGCGAAGGTGTGGGTGCGGTCCGAGAAGAGATCGTAGGCTCTGACTACCAAGTGTTACGAGTGCAATTGAGTAAGCGAGCGAGAATTGCACTATCGAAGCAAAAGTACAATGAGCGAAGGAATGAGCGAAGAATATATAGCGAAGCTACAGTGGTAACGGTAATGCGTGGAAATTGGGGTGCGCGACGGGCCTGGCGCCGAGGTTGGGAAGTGTCGAGGCGGAGGTCCGGAGCGCGAGTTACCAACCAAACCGTGAGGTTGGGTCGCGTCGTGAACAGTGGCGGGAACAGTGTCGAGGCGAATGTCGCGAGTGATAACGGATTACTGTTGGGTGCTGTTGGCGGGAACAGTGGTGTACGCGCTGAGCAGGGACGCGAAGTAAGGAAAAGGAATTTTCCTTACAAAGTGACTCTAAGATGTTTGGATTGTGAGGGGAAGTCGTTGTATTGTTGGAACGTGGTCTGTGGCAATGGCTGGCAAAGGAGGCCTGTAGAAAGTGGGAGTTCGCCAGGCCGATGTGCCTGGGACTAGAGTAATTGTCTGAACTGGTGCATTCTATTGCTTGCCATGGTTTTCTCGAGCTATCATCATGATGCTCAATTGCCAAGAATCTCCCACAACAACCCTTCATGTGTGACCTGCATCGACCCAGGCATGAATGCGCTCTTGGTTGCTGTGCGGCTCTCTTCTCTGAATCAGCTCCTCTGGCAGACTGGCAATTGAGATGAGGCACGTTGTCCGAGATGACACCTCCCCGTAGTCTACGAAATTCCTGCCTTGGAGAGCAGCAGAGGAGCGAGGGAAGCGAAGCAAGACACGGAGAACAGACGAGTCACGACACATTCCATTGCTGCTCCACTCCACTCCACTCCACCCGATCTCTTCTCACCCATCATCATCCAACAGCCTCGAATCAACACGAAACGACGTGTTGCGTTGCGTTGCGTTGCGATTCGCGCGGTTCATCCGCTGTATCATCGCCGACCATACAGTTTCATGTCATCTCTGTTCCACGTTGCTCCCTCCTCGCCACTTGCCCCACACATGACAGCAAGACGACAGGACGACCTGCAAGCACAGCACACGCACAGCCAAGGGAACCTCGCAGAATTTCTTCAATTTCAAGCAGAGCCGTTTTCCACCACACATACACCTGCGAATCCGACCCCACCACACAGGCGGCTCCCCTTCCACGCCACTGGCGCCACCTGAACAGACCTGACCTGACATCCTGTCCTCCCCTGAGTTCTTGTTTCCTGGATACGCCGCCCCTCGCCATTTCAAGATTACCACGAATCCCTCTACTAAAGAAGAAGCCCAAGACCTGCACCTCGCGACAATTGCTGATGCATCCTCGCTACTAAAAGAACCAACACTGCTCCTCTCGCTCGACTTTCGCGCGTTTTCTTCGACTCTCATTTCGTTCTCCTTGGTTCCTACACGACTCCCGACGCTGCTGCCTGCAGTCGACTCACTCTCCATCCCAACCAATAGCTCGAACCCGAACCACCAGCGGATTTCTAGCCGTCATTGCCGTTCCCACCCCGTCGTCGCGTCGACGCAATGGCGACGAAACGAGCCCAGCGGCGAGATCAACAAACGACCTGCGCGGTTCTCATACTCGCCGCGTCCCTCCTATGCGGCATCACGCTCGCCCAAGAGGACACCCTTTTTGACGAAGGTGAGAACGAGTAGTAGTACTGCTTCTGTGGTGATTCTTGCTCGAGTCGACTCAAAAATCGCCGAAAGGGTTATACCACTACGGCGGGTTGTGACGCCTTATGCTGCATGTTGAGGTGTTACACTATTGAAACATTTCGAAACTCGCTGTCCATGGTGGTAGAAATATCTTGATGACGTAATCTTTGCGAGTCGCCCATTGGCCCGGCGCCTGGTCCATCCTCGACTGCTGACCGTCAAGCGTCGACGGTCGACCGTCAAGATCGACCGTCGGCCGGCCCCTGTCGACCGTCGCCGACTGCTGACGTCTTAGCGCCGGTCCTCGTTATTCACATCCTCGTTTCTCTCTCACCTTCCCCCCGCCGCCCTCCGTCGCTCGCCTCCCTCCGTCAGTCAATAAGTCCGGCATGGTGGAGCGCCTTCCGGTCTATATCGTGCGCATGCGCAACTCGCCGCCCGTCGCGGGGTACACTGGCGGAATCGACGGGCTGGCAGCGACCGTCAACGGGCAGCGCATCGCGCAGTCCTTCCGCGCGGGTGCCGCCGCGACGCTCGCAGGCCGCCGCCGCTTCCGCTTCGACCCGTTCAGCCGGCCCGTGCAGCGATTCGCGCGGTGGCTGGGGCAGATGCAGGCGCGCGTCGCAGCCGACGCGGGCGTGAGCACGCGAGACGTGCTCTACAGTTACAAGTACGTGAGCAACGGATTCGCGGCGCAACTCACGCCGAAGCAAGTCCGGCAATTGCGGAACCACCCGGCCGTCGCGCAGGTGAAGCAGAGCATCGCGATTCGCAAGCTCACAACGGACACGCCCGCGTTCCTGCAGCTGCCGAGCACGCTATGGGCGGCGGCGGGCGGACAGAGCAGCGCGGGGCAAGGCGTGGTGGTGGGGATCGTGGACACCGGCATCTGGCCCGAACACCCGTCGTTCGCAGGAGACGTAAGTCATTGTAACTCCCGTACTAATTGTTAACACGATCGGCGGCAGTTGTTGTTGTTGTTTGAAGCGCAGTGGAGAACTGGGCTAGCGACGCGTTGGACAGCCTGCCCAGGGGTAAACTCTCCCCTCTTCCCCCATCCATTCCCTTTCCACCGCGCCCCTGTCGTGCCCCCGCTGCTTCCCCCGTCCGCCGGTCATCACCAGGCGTCGTACCCGAACCCGCCCTCCACGTGGAAGGGCAACTGCACGACCACGGCGGACTTCCCCAGCTGCAACCGCAAGCTCATCGGCGCGCGCTACTTCTCCGCCGGCTTCCGCGGCGCGTACGGCAGCGTCAACCTCGCCGCTGATTGGAACTCGGCGCGCGACGCGGACGGCCACGGCACGTGGTGTGCGGGGTAAGTAAGGAACTGACGAAGCTTCCGCGGCGCGCCGAGCGCGCGTACCCGCAAGTGATAGCGTGTGAAAACTTATTTACCCCGTCTTGCCTTGTCTCCCGTCTTTCCCTCCTTCGCCCTTTTCCCTCTCCCTCACCACATCCTTAACTCCTCCCTCTCCCTCCCACTCGGTTCCCCTCCCACTTTTCTTCTCCTCCCCATTCCCCCTCCCCTCTTCCATCCTCCCTCTCAACATCCCAACTCGCTTCCCCTCACACATCCCCCCTCCTGCCTCCCACTTCGTCCAACCCCTCTCCCCAATCCATCTCAGAGCCGCAACGGGCAACAGCAACGCGCAGGTGGCGATCACACGAGGGCAAGCAACCCCCCCACTCATCCTCCCCCGCACACCCTCTCCCCTTCTCTCCCCCCCCCCCCCCCCATCTCAGAGCCGCGACCGGCAACAGCAACGTGCAGGTGGCGATAGCGCGCGGGCAATCCGCAGGGCTCGCAAGCGGGGTGGCCCCGCGCGCCTTCCTCAGCGTGTACAAGGTCTTTTGGAGCACGAGCAGCGGCGGCGTGACGGCCACGTGGGCGGATATCGAGGCCGCCGTGAACAAGGCGGTAGCGGACGGCGTGGATGTGCTCAGCCTGTCGCTGGGCGGCCTGGATCCCTCCGCGGATTACTTTGACGACTCCACGTACCTCTATGCGAACGCGGTACGTGCACACGCATGCACGTATGCGCTGCTGTGCCAGTCCTGACCGGCTCCTCCCGGTTCTGACTGGGGCTACAACTTTCAGCTTTCAGTTGTCAAGCCTGTGCCCTCGTTTCCACTCCCTTTTCTCCCCCTCGCTCCCCTTTTCACCCCTTTCCTCCCCTCTCTCCCTTCTCCTCCCCGCCCTGTTCCTCCATCAGATGGGAGTGACGGTCGCATATGCCTCAGGCAACGACGGATCACCGCCCTACAGCTCATCAATGTATCGCACCATCTCCAACTTCTCGCCCTTCTACCTCACCGTTGGCGCCTCCACCATCTCCCGCCGCTACAGCACTTCCCTCGTGCTCGGCAATGGAGCAACGGTTGCTGCCACGGGGTTTGGGAGCGGGAGTGCGAGTGTGGTGGGGCTAAGGATAATTGAGGGCGCCTCTGCTATGGCTGCCTCGTCTACCTCTACTCAGGTGAGGCTCTTTTGAGTCGACTCAGAAGTCACCTTGATCGCTGCCGCGGGGTTTGGGAGTGGGAGTGTGAGTGTGATGGGGCTGAGGGTTATTGAGGCCGCCTCTGCTATGGCTGCTTCGTCCACGTCCACTCAGGTGAGGCTCTTGCATTCCTCTGCACTCCTCTGCGCTCCTCTGCGCTCCTCTGCACCCCTCTGCTCTGTTGGCGAGGGCCGTGGTCATCACAGGCCTTGCCTCACAATGCCTTCCAGCCGTTCTTGATGCGCCTCAAAAACCCTCTCATTTCAACTCCCTTTTCCTCCTTCCTTCCTCCCGCCCCACCTGCCATTCCCTGCCTACCCTCTGCCCGCCCCTTCCACCCTCCTCGCTCACTCTCCAGGCACAGTACTGCTACTCCGGCTCGCTTGACTCTGCCAAAGTCAGCGGCAGAATAGTCATCTGTTCGTACGGCGGCGTGGGCACGAGCGTCAAGGTGGGGGAGGTGCTAGCGCGGGGAGGCAAGGCTGTGATCATCACAGGCGTACCCGACGTCCTCAAGCCATTCCCGCCCTACGACTCGCGCCTGCCCTTGGTTTATCTTGACTACGCTCCTGCTGACACGCTGACAACCTATGTCCGATCCACCACCTCGTAAGTGTGTGTGTGTGTGCGGTCTGTTGATTGTTCTTCCTTTTTTTCCCATCCCCAGTTGTTTGCTTTCTCCCATCGCTACTTACTCTCGCAGCCACAATATTTTCCAGTATCTTCTCAATCGGCACACAATCACCACTCACTCAAGCTTCCCCTCCTTCCTCACTCCTCTCTGCTCCCCCCCCCCTCCCCCTACCCATCCCCGTCCCCCCTTTTTCCTCGCCTCCCTCACACCTCCCCCACCCTCCCTACCAACAGCCCGACAGCCACTCTCTCCACATCCTTCTCAACCGCGACTGACCTCCCAGCACCGAACGTCATCTACTTCTCCTCCTCCGGCCCATTGCTCAACCCCTCCTCATCCGTGGTCAAGCCCCAGCCCACCAACGACATCCTCAAGCCAGACATCATCGCTCCAGGCGTCTCTCTCTGGTCGTCTTGGCGCGCGTCCTCCCCTTCCTCTACCACGCAACAGTTCGCCATGATTTCCGGAACATCCATGGCTACCCCGCACGTGGCGGGGATTGCCGCGCTGGTGACTCAGCGCTACCCCACGTGGTCCCCGGCACAGATCATGTCTGCGATTATGACCACTGCGAGTACGACGACCAATCAGGGGTCGGCGATCGGGACGAGTTACACGGCGGTAGCCACGCCTTTTGAGATGGGCCAAGGGCATATCAACTCGACGGGGTTGCTCGACCCAGGGCTTACCTATACTGCGGCTCTGGCGCATTATTACAACTTTTTGGCCGGGCAGGACCAGACCCGGACGAAATATCTCGTCGGCACGCAAACCAAGGTCAAGCTGACCCCGATCCCGGCATACAATCTCAACCGTCCAGCCATCTCCGTCTCGCGATTGGTCAAGAGCGTGGTGGTCACGCGGTGGGTGGTGAATGTGTTTAATCAGGCGTGTACGTACACTGCGAGTGTAGTTGCTCCTGCTAACGTGCGCGTCACCGTTTCCCCATCAACCTTCACCATTTCGCCGGCCAAAACTCAGACATTTACGGTGACATTCAACGTTACAGCAGCATCCCAGGCCTTCAGTTATGGCAGCCTGACGTGGAGGGACCAATTCGGGCATGCGGTGCGGTCGGTGCTTGCCGTGCAGCCAATCAGCCTGTAGATTGCTGCTGCAACTGCCAGCTCACACTGACACGACACATTCCTCTCCAGTTTTGACGACTCTCTCTGCTCGCGATTCTTGGGACTTGGGGCTAGGGCACAGAGTTTGCACTCCAATTGTACAGCTGAAGCTCACTTGACCTCCGCCACCACCACCTTTAGGGCCGCGGTGTCCCCTCTAGAAGACGAGGTTAGATTTCACCTTAGAATTGGTCTGGCCAGGATTATATCGGGTTTCAGGGTTCCGCAGAGACTGCAGGAACTGAGGGTGTGGTCGGATGGGCTTCTTGGGTTGGGTCGGGCGTGGCTCACACGCACACTTTCCAGGTCCTGCCACAGTGCTGTATGCCGAATTGAGGGCTGGAGAGATGGGCCGCGGTGGTCTATTCTGCTTGCGTGTGCGTGCCTTTCAATAAGTTGTTGGGATTTGTTTATTTTATTGTCAGAATAAGCAGTAGAAAGTTTAGAACAAGAAAGAGTGTTTGCACTAGCAGCAGTTGGCATACATATAGGAAACCCTAATTGGGTTGTACTCGCTATAGAGTACCCCACTGCAGGCTAGACAATAATAACATTCTGACACACCCCCATAGCCAAAGTGGGGTGTAATCAGCACAATGAGCAAGCATAGCAGTAGTTCACAATTATAAGCAAAGCTAGTGGTAGTCACAGCGGGCAAGTGAGGAGGAGGAGGGACTGTGAGAGGAGAGAAGATGGGAGACGACGGCTGAAGCTGCAGACACACGGGCAACAGGAGCGGCTGGCACAGTGGCTACCGGGACAGCGCCCCGGACTACTGGAGTAACTGGCTCACGGGCTACGAGGAGCTACAGGAGCAACGGACCCACGGGCGACAGGCGCAGCAGACTCTTTGGGCTACCAGGACAGCGCCCCGGACTTCAGGTGCTGCGGACGACAAGACGGCTACCTCCACACAACCTCCTCCAACTGACCCACACCCTTGACACACACCCCCTGCTGAACCCTAGCTCCACTCCCACGGCACCCCCCTTAACCCCTAAACCCTCGGCTCCCACACACCCACCCCCCTCAGCGGCAGCTGCAGCAGTGGGAGACGGAGGAGGAGGAGGAGGAGTAGGGGACGGATCACACACCCGCCACCCCCATACTTGCCACCCCCATACCCCCAAACGTAGGGCAAAAACGGGGGCAGCAGCTGGGGCGGTGTGTGAGCGGAAGCGGGGCGGCGCGCGGGCCCCCAGGGCGCCTCGACGAGTGACGGGAGGGGGGGACGCACGGCCCCCCAGGGCGCCGCGACGGGTGACGGGAGGGGCGACGCGCGGCCCCCCAGGGCGCCTCGACGAGTGACGGGAGGGGGGAACGCGCGGCCCCCCAGGGCGCCGCGACGGGCGACGGGAGGGGCGACGCGCGGCCCCCCAGGGCGCCGCGACGGGCGACGGGAGGGGGGGGTTCGACGCGTTAGAGCCCAGGGCGCCGCGACGGGCGACGGGCAGGGCGACGCGCGGCCCCCCTGAGCGTCGCGACGGGCGACGGGATGGCGGGGGGGGGGGGCGCGCGCGGATCCCCCACGGCAGAAAACCGCCGTGCGCCTCGGGGCGCACTGCGGGCAGAAACTCGCCGCGCGCCCCGAGCGCACGGCAGGAAGAAGACGGCGCGCGCCCGAGGCGCGCGAGAAGCAGAACAGCAGCGGAAGCAGTTAGGTGGTGGGCCCACCCACAGGATCGACCCAACGGGGTCGACCTGCTCTGAAACCATGTCAGAATAAGCAGTAGAAAGTTTAGAACAAGAAAGAGTGTTTGCACTAGCAGCAGTTGGCATACATATAGGAAACCCTAATTGGGTTGTACTCGCTATAGAGTACCCACTGCAGGCTAGACAATAATAACATTCTGACATTTATGCATTCTATTTGCGAGGGCACCTGCACATTTGGTCAGAGAACTGCAAAGCAACTATGGTACCGTACCGTGTGTACAATGTAGTTGGCGCATAAGGCGGACTAACTTCACAAAACAGTTTGATCAGCATCATGTATAGGGTTTCTGGTTTGATCAGCCTCATCCGAAGAAAAGGTGTACCAACAAAAGCACATAATGGACCAATATGTCACCCCAGGGAACATAACTTGCCTCACGAACAGTAGCCACGATCTAATTGGCCACATTGGTGAATGTGATAGAAACGAAGGTCTGTCCCCACATAGTGACCCTCGCTAAACCCCTGAACCGCGTGAACACCTTCTTGCTGAAGTTCGTGAACGCAGTTGTTCGCCTTATGGTCACGCTGGTTCGCCCTCCCACATTAATCTTGAATCCGTCCAAATAAAGCGTCACTCGTCGGTCCCCGGCCTCCTGATTCACCATAAACACCGTAAGTTGCGCGACCTGAGGGCTGTAGAACGCGCTTATCCCATGCTGACAGTTCGGACTTACCCTAATCGGCTTGGACCCAGGCTTAGCAAGCAGCGTGAAGTGCTTGAAGAGCCAGAACCGCTTGTTCACCATCGGCATTTCCATTGGGCCGTTGTAAGGCGGACTGTACATCGGAAAGAGAATGAACGACCAGCGATCGTAGAAATCGTACGCCTGCCAGATGACGTACGCCGAAGCCTCCATGATATTGACGCTCTCGATAACATTTCGAGCCATGTAGAGTGAGAGGTCCCAGAAGCTTCCTACTTTGCTCAACGGTCCCGCTTCGCTGACCCAGACCTCCTTCCCAAGCGCCTTTCCGACGTCGCGAATACTGCCGAATTTTTGCTCGTAAGACGAGGGCGCACTCCCGTCTTCGTACCTATTCACGTATGCGTGAACGTTTATCCTCGTTAATAGCTCGTGGTTGAGCAGTTGCGGAAGGTTCGCTGTATCTCCGTACCAGCTATCCACGCCAACCAGCTTCGTTTTGAGCCCCTTCGCTCTAAGCGAGTCTGAAGTGTATTTGATGACACGGCTCATTTCGGGTGGTTTAAAGGAGCAGCCTTCGTGTTCCTTCCCTGCCAGCCAGAAACCTTCTAACGCTTCGTTAAAAGGCTCGAGCGCATCAAACGTTACCCCCCATCGTGTCGCATACTCAGCAACGACGGTCGTCAGGTAGTCCGCAAAAGTGCGCTCGTACTCGCGCCGCAGATTCGTCCGCTTTTTCTTACGCGAGCCCGCCACGTCTCCTGTAAACGTCATCCACCACGGAGGGCTGTTCGAAAACGCCTCGAAGACATTCGCTCCTCTCGCCTTCGCTCCCAGCAGCACATTCCGCTGCCGCTGGTCCGCACCCCAATTATACCGTCCGTTCTTGGTTGGCTTGAAACCCGGCATGCCCCTCCAAAACGCATCCTGACTGGTGTAAAATTGCGGGCTGAATTTCTTGTTATGTCCCCCTCCAATATTGTATCGTACGATGTTCAGTCCAAGGCCGTTCGTGGGTTCGAAAATCAGGTCGAGAAGAGCGTTCAGCTGCTGCTTCGGCAAGCCGCCAACGTAATTCGTGAACCAGGAGAGCGAGGTGCCCCACCCTCGCCACGTGGTCCCGATGAAAGTTGGCGAAATTGTTATGTTGATCGCACCTGCGAATAGACATCACAGCAGAAGTAGTGCGGGAAGTCGGCGACTGTCCACAGCGTGGAACCGAACCATTGACGGACGGACATGGGGCCCTATCATCAACCACCAAAAGCTTTTATACTTGATGCAGGTTAAATCGATGTCCTTCCAAACACCAACGAGAACAGTAACGAAAACAAAATCTAGACACAGCGCATGGTCACCTGAAGTCGAGCAAGTCCCGAAGACTTCAATGGGCGGCTTTAAGTAGGGGGGTGGGGGGCGCCTGCTTATCGTGCCGCGTGCTGCCGCTGCCAGCGGTGCTCCTGCCCCATGCGCGGCAAGGACGGTTAGCGCTAGGAGGATCTGGAGGCATCCGCGGAGCAACGTTCTCCCCGTCATCGTGCTATCAGCTGGTGCTATCCGGAGGTATAGGAGGAGCAAACCTAGAGACTGCTCACCAAATCAATTTTCCAATTGAAGTTTCTATGCGGCTGAACAACTGTTTTTCAAAGAACATTCTGCCTACCAGGCGCCTGGACGAGTATCACCGCCTAATATAGCAGCTGCTCTATCCGTGTTCCTTCCTTCATGCGTCCTGTGTGTTATTCAAGCTCACGGAAAGCGGGCTGGCTAGACCCTTCATCATGATACTCGTTTGTTGCGGCTCGAGCAAATAGTATGTTGCAGTGGGAGCGTGCATAGTGATATGATATCGTGGGCCTAGCCCGTGCCGAGCCGATCAGAATTGAGCCAAAGGCCAGGCAGAAAAAATCCCAGAATAATACTTACCAGCCCACCTCCAGTTGAGCAACTCGTTCAAGTGGTGTGATGTCGTCGTGTGTTTTTTTGGTGGAGTTTTTGGTGGTTGCGTGGCCTGCCCAAGCGGAGGGAGGAAGGTGGGTTGGTCAGCCGTAAGGCGGCGTGAAGGTGGTGACCTTGTTGAACAGCGCGCGCTTCGATTCAATCAACACTAGTCTGAAAATTGTACAGCAGACTGCAGATTTGCAAGTGAGGCCAGTCCGTGTTCCCAGTTTGTGACAAACTTCCGCATTTCATGACAACACGAAGGTTTGTGACAGAATTCGATGGAGCCGCGGGTCTTCAGGAGCCAGGTGTGAAATTGGGTTTAAAGCCCAAGACCTGAATTACTCAACGGAAGTCAACGGAAAAAATTAGGTTCGGAAGGGAGGGACACGGAGGTTCGGTTGGGGTGCGAAGCACTTTCGCTCGCGAAACCAATTTGCGACAAAAGTTTCTCGCGCACAAGAATATGACTGATGGGTGGTCCTTCCCACAACGACCAGAAAAGGGCGTCCATCCCAAACTGTGCACAGTTTGAGATAGCACGCAGATAACTAGGCATAGAGCATACCTGTAGACATAGCGGGGAATCAGAGGCGCCTTACGAATGAGTGTGGCGCGGATTTCGATGACGCGCAAAGATAGTGTCCGCTGGTGTCGAAATGCAGGTTTGAGTGCAACTGATGCGTAAACTCGCGGCGAATATCGTAGCGTGACCCTTCACCCAAGCGTGAACCTCTCCTCGCCCTCGCTCTTTTCCCTAGGTCCCACGCTTCCAATCTCTTTCGCCATCGCTTCCCCAGCTCGTCGCCTTCGCGACCTCAGCCCGTCGCCTTCGCCCCGCCCGTCGCCTTCGCTTTCCACGCCTGTCGCCTTCACTTCCCCTCCCCCGTCGCCTTCACTTCCCCTCCCCCGTCGCCTCACTTTCCCCCCCGTCGTCACCTTCACTTCCTCTCCGCCGTCGCCTTCACTTCTCCCCCACCCGTCGCGCTCATTTTCCCCCTCCCGTCGCCTTCCCCCGCCCGTCGCACTCGCTTTCCCCGCCCGTCACACTCGCTTCCCCGCCCGTCGCACTCGCTTCCCCGCCCGTCGCACTCGCTTCCCCCGCCCGTCGCACTCGCTTCCCCCGCCCGTCGCACTCGCTTCCCCCGCCCGTCGCTCTCGCCTCCCCCGCCCGTCGCACTCGCTTCCCCCGCCCGTCGCTCTCGCTTCCCCCGCCCGCCGCACTCGCTTCCCCTCCCGTCGTCACCTTCTCTTCCCCGCCAGTCGCACTCGCTTCCCGCCTGTCGCCTTCACTACCCCTCCCATTGCCGTTCACTCTCTCCTGCTCACGCTCTCCCCCCCGCTCACTCTCTTCCCCACCCTCACTCTCTTCTCTCCTGTACACTCCCTTTCCCCCTGTTCTCACCCCTCTCTTTCCCCCTTCACTCAACCCTTTCCCCCTGCTCACTCTCCTCCCCCCTGCTCACTCCCTTCCCCCCTGCTCACTGCTCACTCTCTTCCCCCCCCCCCCCCCTTACTCTCTTCTCCCGTGTGCACTCTCTTTCCCCCTGCTCACTCTTTCCCCCCCTGCTCACTCTCTCCCCCCCTGCTCACTCTCTCTCCCCCTGCTCACTCTCTTCCCCCCTGCTCACTCTCTTCCCCCCTGCTCACTGCTCACTCTCTCCCCCCCATACTCTCTTCTCCCCCGTGCACTCTCTTCTCCCCCCTTCGCTCTCTTCTCTCCTGTTCACTCCCATCCCCCCTGCTCACTCCCCCTGTCCTCACCCCACTTTCCCTCTTTCTCACCCATTTTCCCCCTTCTCGCTCTCTTTCCCCCTTTGCTCGCCACCTTTTTCCCGGCTCACTCCATTACTCCCACGCTCTCTCTCTCCCCCTCTGCTCACTCTATTTCCCCCTGCTTACTCTCTCCCCCCTTGCTCACTCTCTTTCCCCTCTGCTCACTCTCTCCCCCTCTGCTCACTCTCTTTCCCCCTGCTCACTCTCTCCCCCTCTGCTCTCTCTCTTTCCCCCTGCTCACTCTCTCCCCCTCTGCTCACTCTCTTTCTCCCTGCTCACTCTCTTTCCCCTCTGCTCACTCTCCCCCCCTCTGCTCTCTCTCTTTCCCCCTGCTCACTCTCCCCCCGTCTGCTCTCTCTCTTTCCCCCTGCTCACTCTCTCCCCCTCTGCTCTCTCTCTTTCCCCCTGCTCACTCTCTCCCCCTCTGCTCGCTCTCTTTCCACCTGCTCACTCTCTCCCCCTCTGCTCTCTCTCTTTCCCCCTGCTCACTCTCTCCCCCTCTGCTCGCTCTCTTTCCGCCTGCTCACTCTCTCCCCCTCTGCTCTCTCTCTTTCCCCCTGGACTCACTTATCTTTCCCCCCTGTTTACTCTATATTCCCCTTCGTTCAACCCTTTTTCCCCACAATCCCTCCCCCTGCTCACTCTATTTCCCCCTTTGCTCACCCCCTTCTCCTCCCTGCTCACTCTATTTTCCCCTTTGCTCATCCCCTTCTCCTCCCTGCTCACTCTATTTCCCCCTTTGCTCACCCCCTTCTCCTCCCTGCTCACTCTATTTCCCCCTTTTCTCACCCCCTTCTCCCTGCTCACTCTATTTTCCCCTTTGCTCACCCCCTTCTCCTCCCTGCTCACTCTATTTCCCCCTTTTCTCACCCCCTTCTCCCCCCTACTGACTCTCTTTCCCCTTCGCTCACCCTTCTGCCCTGTCCCCACTCCTCCCATACATGCCCTTTGTACCTCCCACCTCCACCCCTCGCTCATTCGCCGTACCCCCTCTTCCCTCCCCATTCTATCACAGAACCATGCTTGTACAGGTGCCCGGCACCATGGGTCCCAACAGGAGTGGGATGGAAAGTTACCACCCCCTAGGTTTGTGCATTGTGCCTCTATAATCCACTGTTGACAACTTTTATAAAAATATAACTTGCTTTGTTGCATTTCTTTGTCGTGGTCATGTGCATGGCTGCTCCAAAGCCCAGAGTGTTGTATGATTGTATCATGAAAAGCATCCACCATCATGGCATGGCATGGCATCGCTATTTGTACCACTATCACCCAACAGCAAAGACATCACAACTTCATGCATGACAGACCTGCACAAACACGAACCACAAAATCTTCTGTGCCAAAAGTTGAAGCAGCGGGGAAGGATACAAAGCAATGCCAATGGAAGGGCAGGCAGGGAACAAGAAACAAGCCCCTAGAATAAACAAACAAGGTAGGAGTGTACAGGCGTGGCAGGGTAGAAGGGTGCGGAGGAATGGTTGACGAGAGGAAGTGTGGAGGCTGAGAGGAAGGGAGGATGGCAGCGAGGGATGCAGGGAAAATAAGCATGCGCCGAGGGAGAAAATGAGCAAGGGAGACAAGGAGGAAGGGCGGAAGAGAGAAAGGGAGGGGGGAAGGAAGAAAGGGAGGATGGGAGGATGAGAGAACGGGAGGATGAGATGAAGGGAGGATGAGAGGAAGGGAGGATGAGCGCAAGGGCTGGAGGGTGGAAGGGTGGAAGGGGAGAAGGGGGGATGAGAGGATGTGAGGAATTCAAGTAGGGATAGGACAAGTGGGTGAGACGGAAAGGCGGACTATAGGAAGCTCGGAAGGTGGCAGTTTGAAAAGAAGGTCGGCATGGTGGAAGAGAGGCACGAGGATGAAAGAAAGAGTGGGTGAGAGAGTGGTAGGGAGGAGGGAGACTGGGAGGAGGGGCGGACGGGAGAAGTGGAGGGAAAGAGAGAGAAAGTCGATTTTTGAGTCGACTCAAAAATTGAAAGAAAGAGTGGGTGAGAGAGTGGTAGGGAGGAGGGAGACTGGGAGGAGGGGCGGACGGGAGAAGTGGAGGGAAAGAGAGAGAAAGAGAGGAGGGAGGAATGGAGAGTGGAAGGGCGGACAGGAGAAGGCGAATTAGCGGACGAGAGAGGAAGTCGGGACGGCTTCCTGCCCCCGCCACCCCCACTCCCCTGCCCCGCCTCCCCCACTCCCCTGCCCCGCCTCCCCCACTCCCCTGCCCCGCCTCCCCCACTCCCCTGCCCCGCCTCCCCCACTCCCCTGCCCCGCCTCCCCCACTCCCCTGCCCCGCCTCCCCCACTCCCCTGCCACGCCTCCCCCACTCCCCTGCCACGCCTCCCCCACTCCCCTGCCACGCCTCCCCCACTCCCCTGCCACGCCTCCCCCACTCCCCTGCCCCGCCCCCCTTTCCCTTTGTGCACAGCGCTCCTCACTTCCCGCCTGCACGCGCTGCCCCGGCTGTGCGCCCAGCATTCTCCTCCAATGCTGCAGCAGCACCTGCCATGCGAGCGGGGTTGGTGAAAGAGAGAGGAGGAGGCTGGTTCAAGCTTGCTGTGCTGCCATAGGGTTGTGTGGGGCACAGCGTGAGGGGCAGGACGTGTGCACCGCGGAGCATGCTCCTCGCCTCGCACACCCAGGCAGTGGGGAAGGGAGAGTCAGAGAGAAGGAAAGAAGGGTGCAAGGGTGGGGGGAAGCGTGGGTGACTGTGGGAGGGAGTGTAAGGGAGAGTGGGAGGAAGCGAGGGCGACGGTGGGAGGAAGCGTAGGCGATGAGAAAGGAAGAGTGGGGGAAGGTGGGGGAAAGCGTGAGCGACGGTGGGGGGGAGCGTAAGCGACGGTGGGCGGAAGCGTGGGCGACGGTGGGGGGAAGCGTGGGCGACGGTGCGGGGAAGCGTGGGCGACGGTGGGGGGAAGCGTGGGCAACGGCGGGGTGAAGTGTGAGCGACAGTGGGAGGAAGCGTGGGCGACGGTGGGGGAAGCGTGGGCGACGGTGGGCGGAAGCGTGGGCGACGGTGAGGGGAAGCGTGGGCAACGGCGGGGTGAAGTGTGAGGGACAGTGGGAGGAAGCGTGGGCGACGGTGGGCGGAAGCGTGGGCGACGGTGGGGGGAAGCGTGGGCGACGGTGGGGGGAAGCGTGGGCGACGGTGGGGGGAAGCGTGGGCGACGGTGGGGGGAAGCGTGGGGGACGGTGGGGGGAAGCGTGGGTGACTGTGAGAGGGAGTGTAAGGGAGAGTGGGAGGAAGCGAGGGCGACGGTGGGAGGAAGCGTAGGTGATGAGAAAGGAAGAGTGGGGGAAGGTGGGGGAAAGCATGAGCGACGGTGGGGGGGAGCGTAAGCGACATGATGGGGAAGCGTGAGCGACGGTGAGGGGAAGCGTGGATGACAGTGAGGGGGAGGGTGGGCAACGGTGGGCGGAAGCGTGGGCGACGGTGGGGGGAAGAGTGGGCGACGGTGGGGGGAAGCGTGGGCGGCGGTGGGGGGAAGAGTGGGCGACGGTGGGGGGAAGAGTGGGCGACGGTGAGGGGAAGCGTGGGCGACGGTGGGGGGAAGCGTGGGCGACGGTGGGGTGAAGTGTGAGGGACAGTGGGAGGAAGCGTGGGCGACGGTGGGCGGAAGCGTGGGCGACGGTGGGGGGAAGCGTGGGCGACGGTGGGGGGAAGCGTGGGCGACGGTGGGGGGAAGCGTGGGCGACGATGGGGGAAGCGATCGGGGACGGTGGGGGGAAGCGTGGGCGACGGTGGGGGGAAGCGTGGGCGACGGTGAGGGGAAGCGATCGGGGACATAAAAGTGCCGCCGTTGTGGGACACGACGACGTCGACGAGGAAGCGATGGGAGTGGAAAAGGGCGGACGGAAACGTAGGGCGAATGCGCCTTCGCCCTACAACTGGAGCTGAGGGCGTCGGAATGGGGTCATGACGGCAAGCAGGACAGGAAGTCACTGCAGGGCGGCGGGTAGTTGACTACCATGGAGAGGAAGGTGATGCATGCGGCAAACTGGCGTTTTGCGCGGTCGCGCAGGGGTTCGACGACGATGCAGAGTAAAAGGCGGGGCCATCGCACAGAATCTAGATTTTTTTGTGAACTAAGCTACAGCTCTATTGGCTTTCTGTTCTACCTCTGCTGGTAAACTGGGAGTTCCTCGTACCATACGACCTGAATTACAAAAAAATCAAACTGTGCACAGCCGCAGCCGTTATCTCTTGTGGAGGGGGTGGTTGGGGCTCTCGCCAACCGAACCTGTGCTGCTCTACGACTCACTGTTTTTCTGCGGGAAGTCATCTGGTAACCGGAGAGGCTCGGGAGAAAAACTGTGGGCTCGAGAGGCAAACTGTGCACAGTTTGCCTTCCCTTTTTTGTAATTCAGGTCTTGGGCTTTAAAGGAAGACCCGAAGTTGGCCGCATATGACTCAGAACGGGTCTGGCAGACCCCACGGGTGCCACCTTCGGTCCATTCACGAGCCAGGAATGCACCCGAAACACCTCTAAAAGCTCTGCTGCTCGTATTAATGTGCCATACCGGTGAAGACATCATCTGGAAAGCACGTGATATACCTTCATATTTTCCAAATATAAGAGTCACACAAAACTAAAACAAATATATTACATTGCTAAGCACTTCAATCAAGTACATGGATACGAATATGCACAAGCCTACATCAAGATCCATAAGACTCACCTGCTCCTACACTACATGGTAATCAGGCATCGTAATACCCAATCGTTCTTCACGCATGCCTAATGGATTCCCGCTGTTTTTACCAGTACCCATTTTTCTACTCATCCAACAGCCGCCGCCGCCGCTACTGCTCCTTAGACTCCTCTTGAGCTTGTCGGCGGGGCTCAGCATGCAGTAGCGGTACAACACCCTGTCATCATGAATGCACACTTGGTTACGCACATGTAGGCAAGCGGGCACGCATGCATGCAGAGAAACACGCGGCCATGCGCACACACACACAAAACAGGCTTTCGGGCAGGCAAAAAACCGTGTCCTACTACACCCGGTACCCCTGTCGAGGTCTCCCGGTTCCCTCCGCTCCCCTTTTCCTCGCCCCAGGTTCCTCCGGTACGCCCGCCGCCCCTGGTCCTGCCCCGTGAGGTGTATCCCCCGCTACCTCTCTCCCCTCAGTAGCACGTCAGGTACCGCCCCCTTCCCCACAGTTGTCCTCACGGTCACCGCAGCAGCCGTCGGCACTACCGCGATGGGTTGCTGTGGACTCTTGGAGTGGTGGTGTTGGAGGCACGGGCGCTGGAGCTGCTTGTTCGAGGGGTGTTGGTGTGTAGGGTACTGGTACTGGAGTTGCTGGTTCAGAAGGTGCTGGAGTTGGAGGAATTGGCACTGGAGGTGCTAGTTTTTGGGGTGCTGGAGCTGGAGGTACTGGCACTAGAGGTATTAGTGAGGGGGGTGCTGGAGGTGTAGGTGCTGTCATTCGATGTTCTAGTTCTGCGGGTGCTGGGGCTGGGGGTGCTGGTCCTGAGGAAACTGGGGCTGGAGACACTACTACTGCGGCGCCTACCCCGCCTCCTAGCCGCTACAGCATGCGTCTTCAGACTCTGCGTCGGCTCAAGATTGCGGATCATTAGAGGTTGGAGTCTGCGCCTGGAGCAGCATCAGCAAGAGCTACCGCACTAGGAGCAGCAGCAGCAGCAGCCAGCTTTGCAGCAGTTGCCTCCACCTGTGAGTGGCCTTCGGGCCCTTGGTCTTCCTTCTTCTCCTCTAGACCGCTGACAGTCTCATGATGCCTACGGTCCTACCTTTCCTCCCCCAAACTCGTCCCCGCTGTTTTGTTCTCCTCCTCAATCTCAGTCACCTCCTCTTGTGGTCCCGATTACTTGGTCCACCCGTTGTCCTCCTAGTGCTCGTCACTCGTCCCTAGTCGTTGACCTTCGCACTGTCTTGTTGCGTTCAAGTCCTCATTACTCCCTGTCTGGGCCTGTTCTCCCGTCACCTCATGGGTCGTCTCTTACCGCCTCCTCTTACGGTATCACTAACTACTGCTGCAATGCTCGTCCTGTTGTCTCACGTGTTATCGCCACTCTTGTTACGGGCCCTACTGCTTTTCTGTTGTCACTCTCGGCTCTGGTTGCCGCTGTCATTGACTTTGTTGCCACTCGCCGCCTTGACTACGCCACCTGTGTGATGGCTTCTGAGGGTGAGTCTTCCATGGGCTATGACATCATAGAGGGCAGGCAGTTTAAGCTGGAGTTCTTGGTAGCCGTTTCTCCCCATCTCAGTGTCATACTACAAGCCGCTAAAAGAGACCCCGATGCCCTTGACATACCGACTCCTCGCACGTACCAAGAGGCAGTGTCAGGGGAGTGGGCCTCTCAGTGGGTAGCGGCCATGGACTCAAAGATGACGTCTTGGGTATCCACAAGCACTTACGTCGACGCAGTTCCCGCCCTTAGGGCGAACGTAGTCGATGGCATAAGGATCTTCAAGGTAAAGCGGCTGCCGAAATCACCGCATGTCTTCAAAGCGTGCTACATGGCTTGGGACTTCAGTCGTGAGGGAGTTGACTTCTTCGAGACCTTCACCTCAACCCTGAACATGACTACTCTTCGGGCGTTACTTCACGTTACAGCAGCGACAATACAAGCTACACTCCCTCGACTTCTCCGCAGCCTTTCTCCATAGCCGCCTGCACAAGAGAATCTGGATGCGCCGTCCTCCATACTTCACTGGCACTTTTCCGCCTTGGACCCAGTGGAGCCTGAGGCGACCAGTCTACAGCCTCCGCCAGGCGCCTCGTGAGTGGCACGACATGCTACACACACACATTCCGACATCGTGTTCCGTCTTTCGTCCACCGGCCGGTTCTTTGTTCTTGTCTACGTTGACAACTTGGTCTCCGCTACCATGGCTTGCATATCACAAGTGACAGAGCCGTTCGCACTATCACTCTGACTCAGTCTCACGTGTTGGAGTATTTCTTCGGCTGTTTGGGTTTCAGTTGTCCACCACCCAGGCCACTCCTCATGTTGTTGACCACAGATTCATCGGCCCTTTTCCCGACGAGCCCTTTGAGTTTAGTGGTCCCTACGCAGGGCGCGTGGGATGCCTCATGTGTCTGATAACTTGTACTCGACATGACCTCGCTTTTCCCTTCAGCGAGCCATCGTCCTGTTCACTGGACGGCTGCTGTGAGGCTAGCGACTTCATTAGGCATAGGGCTTGTGCTTGGAGGGACACAAGCAGTTGTGCTAACCGACCGCTGCGACTCTTCTTACGTCGACGACGTAGAGACGCAGTGGTCGACTCAGGGGTACTGTTCAGTTTAGGCGCTGGAGCTGTGTCGTGGAGGTCTACACGATCGTCGTCTGTGACTTCGTCCTGCGATGGGGCTGAGGCCTACGATACGCCATGGCTGCGCGTGAGTTTCGCTGGTTGATCTAATTGCTCACCGACCTTAGTGAGCGGCTGGTCAGCACCAACCATGTTCGCTGATAATAAGGGCATAATCCTCCTGTGTCGAGAGCCTCAACTAGAGAGCATAGTGAAGCACATCGACGCGAGACATTTTCTCCTGCGGTAGTTGCAGCGACAAGGCCAGGCACGCTTGGATTTCGTGGCCTCAGAAGCAAACACCGCATATTTATTCACCAAGACTCTTCCACCTTGTGACCACCAGATGTGCTGTCTACAGTGAGACCTTGTTGAAGCAAGCCCTCTTTTGATGTAGTCGTGCCTCTTGTTCCTAGCTATGTTTGTACCTACATTTCTCTATATTTGTGAGCTCTTGAACTGGCATTGTGGCCCCTTGTTTGTGCTCAGACTCTGTTGTGACTTTGCGATCCACTCTGAGCTTTGTGTTGCTGCTTCTCTTGACTAGTATTGTGTCTATGTCTGGTTATTGATATCTCTTGTTATCCCTCACTTAGCATATGGAGGTGTGTCACACATACTCTCAAAGTAGGAATGCAACGGAAAGTTTGACTAGAAAGGAGTTGGGGTACAAATAGGTACCCCTAACATGTTTGTACTCACTAAGGAGCACCTCGGTACAGCCTATCACAATACCAACATTTGACACACCCCCATAGGCTAAATGAGGGGCACCAAAACAAGCAAGGCAGACCAACGGTCACAAGACCAGTCAAGACAAGAAGCAAAGCAAGCTCAGGGTGGATCTCAAAGACACCACACAAATTCCGAGCACAAGCAAGCGGCCACAAGGCCAGTTCAAGAGTTCACTAGGGTATATATAGGAAAGCACAACAAGCAGAGCAAGCAAAAAGTCTACAGCAACCGAGGGTTACCTCAACAAGCCTCAACTGCACACTGAACCTATGGTGGTCACCAAGCGCCAGGGCCTTGGTGAAGACGTTTGTAGTGTTGGCCTCTGAGGCCACAAAGTCCAAGCGTGCCTGCCCGCGTTACTGCAGCTCTCGCAGAAGGAATTACATCACGTCAATATGCTTCACTCTGCTCTCCAGTTGAGGCTCTCGACAGAGGAGGATCATGGCCTTGTTGTCAGCGTACAAGGTCAGTGCAGAGCGAGGCCGCTCACCAAGGTCGGCGAGCAAGAAGGTCAACCAGCGAAGCTCCTGTGCCGCCATGGCACCAGCGTAGCCACAGACGATGACCTCCACGATACAGCACCAGCTCCCAGACTGAAGCAGTAACCCTGAGTCGAGCGCGGAGTCTCCACGTCGTCAGCGTAGGAAGAGTCGTAGTGACCAGTCAACGCCACTGGCTGAGTCCCTCCTAGCACAAGCCCCATGCCTGATGTAGTCGCCAGGTACTTCGCCACCCTCACAACAGCTGTCCAGTGGACAGGAC